ATAGCTAAATAAATAACGGCGTGGAGCGGTGGTGCAGTGGTTAGCGCGCTCTGCGATAAGAACCACCCGACAAAAACTGATTTGATTTTACTAGCTGTCTAGCCACGGTTAACGTCAGTGGCGAGTGATATAAGACCTGGCCCCGCGCAACGCACCCCACCCTTCACCAAAGCGCACGGACCAGCGGGGTGAAGTATGGTCACATAACTCAATGACCGACGTGAGGGTGCGGAGGCCGTCATCCCGTTGGTGGATTGAAAGTAACATTTATTTATTGATTTCACTTACAAATTAACTTAAATGACCCGGAACAACCCCAGATCATGCGAGATTGCAAATAAGGACTGCTGTGGTGAACTGCACGTGGCATGCCCCGCGCATTTTACAACGCAATTTGTTTTTGTTTTCACTATTTATATCCCAGCTCGGGCTTGGCTAAGACATTTTTTTTATCGGGCGTTACAATCTCAGTTTGAAGTCTAGCGATATTTGGGCTGCGTGCGGAGAATATGAAAACTCGAAGCTGCACTCCCGGATTTGTAATTGCACGGCACCCGGCTGAACTTGAGCCTAGCGGGGTCGCACTCTTTTCCGTTTCGTCCCGACGACATCGTCGTGTCGCCACGAGAGCCACCGCGTTCGTTTATAACCCTGGAAGGCGATGCGATTCATTCTCGGGTTAAACTCCCCGCTCGTGCGTGCGTGGGAAGCCTTGAAGAGAGCAATACGTCTTCGAAAGCGGCGAGACTGCTATCTGACGTTGCTCCTTGCTTGCCTCCATAGTTCAATTTGAATGTGCGATTTTATTGAGGGACTGCGTGTGGTCTTGGTGTGGTCTGGGACAATTTTTTGTTATTTTTGCTGCCTTACCCAAGACTGAATTTGTTTTTTTTAATAATCGGCAGCAATGCACGTACTTATGCAATTTGTGCTTTATTTATTTAGTGACTTGTTTAGCTTGAATATACGTTGCACTCCTATACGTTTTTGAATTGTAATTTCTGACCCGTACCCTACTCGACATCTGTGAAACAGAGCTTCATAGGTCGTCGGATTCTTCGGGTCTAAATAAACGTTCTGATTCTGTGTTCCTTCATGCGGCGCCGTGAGAAATTGTCACGATTTCAGCGACCGTGGCAGCCTCCTGCCAGTCTGCGTTCATGCCGAGGTCGGTGAGAGAGCCGGTGGATGGCTTCAGGCAGAGCTGATGAATATCTAAAATTCTCCCTACGGTGATCGAGGCGCGCAGCGAGTGGCATTACCATGCGGTCCGTTGTTCGAGATCGGCGACTTCAATCGCACAACACGCGTGGCACTTAAAGCCCTCCTAGTCTGCACACACAGTGGGCGGATGAGCCACATTCTTTGTAAGATTCGGCCTTGGTAGTGTATTAGTAGCAGCGCCAGCTTCGCGAATTACGGAAACAGTGGTGGCTGTTGTATATATAGGCCTTTTTCCATTTTTGTTTTTGATATTAATAATTTTGCCAATATACATTTGTATATATAATCACTCGCGGGGTCGCTGGGAGCACACCCCCCCCCCCCCCTTTTCGAGCAGCTGTCTTGTCACTCTCGCAAAGATAATGACACCCTCTCCTCCCACCAACGGAAAGGGTCAGTCATAAAGTCAAATTAAAAAAGCACACACACACGCCCCCGGACGAAGGATAACAAACAGGCGTTTCGTTTTGGTTAACTTTTTCATGCTTCTTCTAACAAATGGTAAAAATTCCAAAACTTAGCGACCAAAGATGAAGCTAACATTATCGATCCTCACACTCACTCCAATTAAAAACCAGGCCACAATCTACATCAGTGGATCATTACTCCTCATTCATTAATTCAATACTGATGTTATTTTCACCTTTAATAATTTTCTACACGACCTGACCGAAGCATCAAGAAGAATTCTGGCACTCAGGGTTATTCCTAAGCCAAAAACGAATTCTCTTACCTCGGGAAATCAGATAATAAAAATTACTCTAGTATAACAGCACGGATCCCCGGATGCAGTCAGGGAGCAAAAATTAATAAACCCTAAGAAATACGTGGTGATGATAATGTTTAATCACAAATCTTGGGAAACATAAACCAAATAATAATTATGCAGTATTAAACCGAGGGTTATCCAGAAGAGATTAGGCGAAATAGGTCAAACTTACACAACCAAGATAAACTGTATCCCATAGGAAAAGAGCCTCCCAACCGTCTTTGTCTTCCCGCAGCGCGGGATAGCAAAGAATGTAACGCCCAGAGTGAGGGAAGTGACTCCCACAGATAGCTTTTATTGCAGGTGGGGCATCTGTGTTCCACGGATGAAAAGATGGCTTGAGGGCGACAGTAATCAAGCCAGGGAGAGACACAGATGGCTTAATAAATCAGAACACACACACACGGACACACGTACACCCCTCCCCCCACAACACAGAGCGAGATCAAAGGAAGTTCCGGTCCTTTGTGAGAAGGCGAGCAGAGAAATACATTTTTTTGGCATATATAAAGAGAGACACGGGCCATACACTGCATCACAGCTACCAGCGGCAGAAGACGGCGACCATCAGCTCGACAAGAAGACACACAGCAGCTCGGAAGAGGACAGCAAGCCAGCTCCGGGCATATGGCCTCGAGATCAACAATGCGTGTGGTGCATCGCAGAGAAGAGGGGCGAGGTGATGCTCTGTGCTGAGTTCGGCATGGACCGACAGAGTATCGCTGAAAGTTATTCTCAGCGTCAAGCAGTCAACCTCGAGAAAGGGCGGAGAGGGCCAAGCATCGACCAAGCCAGCATTGCAGAGAACCAGCTGCACGCGCAATCGGCACCGCCAGAGAGAGACGGAGCAAGAGAGAGAGCGCGCAGCAGCGCCACCAAGCGAGGGTGCCAGCTGCCAGCGGACAAGCGTTGTGCCGACTCGGCTCATTCAGCAGGGGAAAGAGCCTGACCGGCCGCTCGTGAGCAAGAGTGTCGGCGCCAACGGGCGCGCCGTGGGTTCGACCCACACGCACACCGTCCAGCACCAGCTGGGAACCAAGACAAGAGAGAGGGAACCAGCCGTCGTTCGTATACCCTCCCCCAGACTCACAAACCCACGACGCTCCCGGTGTCTGCTCACACAAGAATTTACCAAAGAGACAATCCAAGCACCCACACAATAAGAAGACTAATTAGAAAAGTGCATGAACCATGCGATGCCTTCACCATGTCGTGAAGGCATCGCGGCTCATCGAGTGATAAAAAATACGTCGTTTATAAGTACATTTTTTTCTTATTTTGTTTTATGTGATTTTTCTTCCAATCGCATAAATTACCAATAGATTCATCATTATAAACTAAACTTTTGAAACCTTCGTCACGAATCTACACGCTCACAGAGAGAATATCGTGTTAAACCTGTTTCTTTATCATATAATCTTGTCCACGAATTAATTAAAACTTAGCCAAAGATAAGAATCTCCCGTAGAAGGGCATGCACCCCGTTGCACACCCTTATTCCAAGACATTTAGTTAATTATAAAATCTTGCCGATTAATCTATTGACGTACACTTTTGCCTTTGGGGTATGATTTGCTTTTATTGCCTTTCGTATGAATATCGTTGCATAAATGTTTAAGGACTTTTCCTCTCGCCGTGTATGCTCGCGTACTCTGAGGAAGTAATCAATTGTATTGTTACCCAGTTAACAAACGTGATCATTGAGGGTTAAATGTATGGATCAATGAGGGGAACATCTCCTGGAGTACTGTGTTGACAATTTCCAGCATAAGAATTCGCATATTAGAGTGTTAAGGTTTAGAAATTAAAATTGCTTAGCACAGAAGTGTTTGAGTGTTTCTTTCCTAAGTTCATGCATAATAATCTTAATTATAAGAACTGTATCCTGCGGTGAGATTTGAATTTGGTGACCTGACATAAAAACACTAATACATAATCAGTAAATGTTAAAGTGAGAATAATTGTATTATACCGATCGATAATACGAACCTAGACAACGAAGCCGAGCTTAATCTGGCATACTTACATCACACCTGCATAACTGCATACAATTAATTGATTATCCCGATTGATGATACGACCCTGGGCAACGAAGCTAAGCCTACATTGGCATAATCGCATACATTAATATAATTACACAAATTACCATAATCTTGGGTAATTACGCATTTTTCCAAATTTCATTTAATTTTGATTATTTTCATTAAATGTTCATACCCAACATATACAACATGGTGGCGCAGCAGTTAATTTACTAACCACCCAAGGGTGTGGGATCACGTACCGTGTACGCTTGCTTCTAACCTGTAATTCGTAAACCGTGATTGATATAATTCCACGTGAATGTTGGTGGGTAGGTGAAGGTGAAGGTGGTGGTGAAAGAAGGGCGCTGATCTAATCGCCCCGCACAGGGCGATGCCCACGTGTTTGGCCGCCAGACACCTTAGGCACTGATACGCGCAACACAACCGCGTGAGGTCTACGTTTATACTCGGGCTGAACGATTAATCGATTTCGAATAGAAATCGCAATTTGAAACAATGCGATTAGCAAATCGCAAAGGCTGCGATTTTTTGTGATTTGAAAAGTCCTATTACTTTCTTAGTGGAATTGATTTATTTCGTGTTATTATAACGTTCTTTATTTACCTTAACAATTGTTCTATGTTTGATTGTTCTATTTCAATTAAAACATTTTAATAAATGCATGTTGGAAGCAAATCATATCTTTTAAGTTCTCATCCTTGCATTAGAATATATAGAGAGCAGTTCATATTTTGTTGGTATCACATGGCAATGCTCCATCACGTGTTTTAAATCTACTACACTGTCAATATTGAACAAGAAGCTTGACTTAAACAAATTTTGATCGCAAATCAAATCGCAATTATCTGTCAGAAAAATCATCGCGATTAGACGTTTTCCCCAAATCGTTCACCTCGTGTGGCGGGAGCACGTGCCGTGAGCGATGGCTCACAGCACGTGCTCCAACAGTCTGTGAAGAAGAGCTTCACGGAATAACAGGCGGATGGATCTCTGAGAGTGTGTGCTGAGCACTACGCGTTCATCTGCCTGGACCCGCGTGGTGTTGGTGTTGTTGGTGCCCCCATCCCCAGCGCGTCTTGCGCAAAGCGCATCCGTGCGCACATGCATCACCCCCCCCACCACCACCACCCACCTCTACCCTCACTATCTCGCTCCACTCCCCGACCTCCCCCTCCTCTGAGCCTCCTCTCTCTCTCTCGCTCCCTCATTGCTTCGATCATCCCACAAGCGGTCATTCCACATGCGGCTTCTCATGCGCCCGCATCAACTGAAGTCGGCGCTGGTGGGTGGGTGGGTAGGGGTGACGGGGAACGAAATCGTGCCACTACCACCACCGTCGTCGTCATCATCATCGCAGGCGGTCACTTGTCAAGAGGAGGAGATCTATTCCTGGAGAAACGCGACTCCGCCGCTGTCGGGCACATGACGCTCGCTCGACTTCGCTTCGCCGTTGAGCCTCGGGGGGGTGCCGAGCATAGCAGGGTCCGACAGGGAGACGCCGCCACCACCACCACCACCCCGACGTGCGAGGAGGAGGAGGAGGCGCGCGTCCTCGCAGAGGGCTGCCGCCGCTGCTGTGCCCGTTCACGATTCCCCAACCGAGGACAAAGGAGGCACGTGGACGTCTCGTCTAGCCTCCACCTCTGCTGCTCGCCGGCAGCTGCAGCCGCCGGCAGAATTGGTGAGCGAGCGAGCGAGCGCGTTGACGTTGTAGGTCGGCTCAGCCTCAACTGAGTACCCGGTGCGGTGTGTGGTAAACGTCGCACACTGGGGGAGAGACAAAGGCGGCCGGGCGTGGTGCTGGCCACCCACCCCACCTCGTGTGTGCCGATGATCGCTAGCAGCACTTGCCCCAACAGTCTCGTTAAGGCTATTTACGGGGCTACCTTGTAGAAAGCTGTGGTGATAGCGATTTGACGAATTGCATTATGAATCCATTTGACCTTCGTTCGATTCCAGGACACTGTCTCTCGTTCAGTGGCGAGTGACATCCATACCGGTCCTGGGACTCCCCTGGGTCGACTCAGCCTTAAATTGGTATCTGATGCGGTGTGTAAACATCGGGGAGACAAAGGCGGTCCGTCGTGGTGCTGGGCACCGGACCCCCTCGTCTACCATGCCGACCTCCGTAAGGTCACAGACACACACACACCTCCTCGTTAGCAACACTCGCCCCAAAAGTATCTTAAGGAGGTGTGTGTCTGTGTGTGTGTGAGCCCATACCTGTCCCTGTGTGTTAAGAGAAGGTGTCTGTGTGTGTGTGAGCCCATACCTGACCCTGTGTGTTAAGAGGTGTGTGTGTGTCTGTGACCCCATACCTGTCACTGTGTGTTAAGATGAGGTGTGTGTCTGTGAGCCCATACCTGTCACTGTGTGTTAAGAGGAGGTGTGTGTCTGTGAGCCCATACCTGTCCCTGTGTGTTAAGAGGAGGTGTGTCTGTGAGCCCACACCTGTCACTGTGTGTTAAGAGGAGGTGTGTGTGTGTGTGTGAGCCCATACCTGTCCCTGTGTGTTAAGAGGTGTGTGTGTCTGTGAGCCCATACCTGTCCCTGTGTGTTAAGAGGAGGTGTGTGTGTGTGTGTGAGCCCATACCTGTCCCTGTGTGTTAAGAGGAGGTGTGTGTGTGAGCCCATACCTGTCACTGTGTGTTAAGAGGAGGTGTGTGTGTGTATGAGCCCATACCTGTCCCTGTGTGTTAAGAGGAGGTGAGTGTGTGTGAGCCCATACCTGTCCCTGTGTGTTAAGAGGAGGTGTGTGTGTCTGTGAGCCCATACCTGTCCCTGTGTGTTAAGAGGAGGTGTGTGTGTGTGTGTGTGTGAGCCCATACCTGTCCCTGTGCGTTAAGAGGTGTGTGTATGTATGTGAGCCCATACCTGTCCCTGTGTGTTAAGAGGAGGTGTGTGTGTGTCTGTGGGCCCATACCTGTCCCTGTGTGTTAAGAGGAGGTGTGTGTCTGTGAGCCCATATCTGTCCCTGTGTGTTAAGAGGAGGTGTGTGTGTGTGTGAGCCCATACCTGTCCCTGTGTGTTAAGAGGAGGTGTGTGTGTGAGCCCATACCTGTCCCTGTGTGTTAAGAGGAGGTGTGTGTGTGTATGAGCCCATACCTGTCCCTGTATGTTAAGAGGAGGTGTGTGTGTGTCTGTGAGCCCATACCTGTCACTGTGTGTTAAGAGGTGTGTGTGTATATGTATGAGCCCATACCTGTCCCTGTGTGTTAAGAGGAGGTGTGTGTTTGTGAGCCCATACCTGTCCCTGCGTGTTAAGAGGAGGTGTGTGTGTATGAGCCCATACCTGTCACTGTGTGTTAAGATGAGGTGTGTGTGTGTGTGAGCCCATACCCGTCCCTGTGTGTTAAGAGGTGTGTGTGTATGAGCCCATACCTGTCCCTGTGTGTTAAGAGGTGTGTGTATGAGCCCATACCTGTCACTGTGTGTTAAGAGAAGGTGTTTGTGTGTGTGAGCCCATACCCGTCCCTGTGTGTTAAGAGGAGGTGTGTGTGTATGAGCCCATACCTGTCCCTGTGTGTTAAGAGGAAATGTGATGTGTATGAGCCCATACCTGTCCCTGTGTGTTAAGAGAAGGTGTGTGTGTGAGCCCATACCTGTCCCTGTGTGTTAATAGGTGTGTGTATGAGCCCATACCTGTCCCTGTGTGTTAAGATGAGGTGTGTTTATGAGCCCATACCTGTCCCTGTGTGTTAAGATGGGGTGTGTGTGTGTATCCACGGAATCTCGCAATTGGTGCGCGGGTTTAATGTCTCCACGCGTGCATTGTCGTAATTTGCTCGATAGCATAATCGGGAGGATTCACACACGGACACCGTTACAGTGGCATCTCACGGACGAATTACGAATCGTGACCACGTGCGTGTCACGTTTTACGCATACACGCCTCGCGTGGGTCTGTGTGTGTGGGTGTATCCGTGTTGTCGACAAACAATGGGATTACATCATTAAGCCTAATTGCCTCGGGTGTGAATCAGTTGATTGTGTTTTTCTCGAGTAAGCCTGTCTCTGCTTGCGCGTGGCGCGGGACCTGATGCCTTGAGATCGCACGTGGAATAGCGGAGCGTCTCAGTCAGCCTTTTGTTTACCCGGCTGCAGGACTCAACCCTCGTACTTTCTCACGCGGTCCCAGTGCCCCCTCTATACGCTCGCCACACAAGAAGGAACACGTTTATGATACGTCGTCGGCAGCTGTGCATAAGAACAACAGCTCAGCACCCATGTCTATAACATTAGCCTATGCTTTTTTTTAAAGAAACCATCACGGGCGACGTTTCGGGAAAGGGCCCTTATTCATAGCCAAAGCGAGTCGGTGGCATGGAGGGGGGGGGGGGGTAGATATCTGATTGTAACATTTCATAGTGTAGATAGCGTCTCAGCTGGCGAGCAGTGAAAGTGATTTGCGCCTGCTGTCCTCCCGCCTGTCGCCGTCAGGTCCAGCGGACGTGATGGTGCGGGCGAGAGCCGGCAGCAATGTTGGCTAGGAAGGGCCTCCTCGCCGAGGAGTACGTGCTCACCCGCCTAGCCGAGGACGAGGTGGGCCACCAGCCCAAGCAGCGACCGCGTCCTCGCAAGGCGCGCTTCGTGCGCAAGAACGGCGCCTGCAACGTTGCCCACAGGAACATCCGCGAGCAGGGCCGCTTCCTCCAGGACGTCTTCACCACACTCGTGGACCTCAAATGGCCGCACACGCTCGTCATCTTCACCATGAGCTTCCTGTGCAGCTGGCTGCTCTTCGCCATAATCTGGTGGCTCATCGCCTTCTCGCACGGCGACCTGGACCGCGTGGAGAACGCGCCGAACCCGTGCGTCACGGCCGTGCACTCCTTCACCTCGGCCTTCCTCTTCTCCATCGAGGTGCAGGTGACCATCGGATTCGGGGGCCGCATGATCACGGAGGAGTGCCCGCTGGCCATCACGATGCTCATCGTGCAGAACATCGTGGGCCTCATCATCAACGCCATCATGCTGGGCTGCATCTTCATGAAGACGGCGCAGGCGCACCGGCGCGCCGAGACGCTCATCTTCAGCAAGCACGCCGTCATCGCCCCGCGCAACGGCAGGCTCTGCTTCATGTTCCGCGTGGGCGACCTGCGCAAGAGCATGATCATCGGCGCCAGCATCCACATGCAGGTGGTGAAAAAGACCACCACGCCCGAGGGTGAGGTGATACCCATCGACCAGGTCGACATTCAGATGGAGAACCCCATCGGCACCAACGGCATCTTCCTCGTGTCCCCGCTCATCATCTGCCACACGATAGACAGCAAGAGCCCCCTGTACCTGCTTACACCCAACTCCCTCCAGCACGAAAACATCGAGGTGGTCATCATCCTGGAGGGCGTTGTGGAGACCACGGGCATCACGACGCAGGCCAGGACGTCCTACCTGCCCGACGAGATCCTGTGGGGTCACCGCTTCGTGTCTATCGTCACGGAGGAGGAGGGCAAGTTCTCAGTGGACTACTCCAAGTTCGGGAACACGACGCGCGTGGCCACGCCGCGGTGCAGCGCGCGGGACTTGGACGAGCAGCATGGAGCGCTGCCGGCGTCGAGCTCACAGAGGGCCCAGAATGCCACACGCAGGAGGCACGCGGAGGAGCGGCGCGCGTCGGGGATTTTGGAGACGCAGCAACCTCGCTTTTCATGATGCCAACCATGCCTCAGCACAAGTAAAAAAGCCACTGTTGTTTTCTAAAGGAAAATGATCGTTAAATGGCATTTTTAATATATATGGAAGAAAAAAAAACTCATTTACATCGGTATATTTTTGTTGCCTTGAACTTTTTTTCCGACAGTTGGCTTCGGCATAAAATGCCATTTGCTTGTTCACTTTGAAATGCTGCTAAAACAATCCGAAGGCCAAGATGGAAACTGCAAAGAGTGTTGCTTGAATTGAAATGACACCGGCGCTATGATTTGTTTGCTGAGTTTGCGCGTCTTGCTTTCAGTGTTGAGTAGAGCTCGGCGAGGTTCGTTTCTGCTCATTTTGTGTGGATGATTTAAATGTTTTTGGAAATCAGCACTCAACAGCCAATTTGAGCAAATTATTGTACTGGCCAGGTAAGGGCTAATTTGAGGAAGACGACAATGTTTTTGGAAGCTGTATATTGCTGTATAAACTGTACACTTTTAAGCACAAAAAAGCAATATATATTGTGCATGGAACTTGGATTTTTACAATTGTCTCAATAAAAGCGTAATATATCATTAATACTGTGCTCTCTTTTTGAAAGCCAAAACTTTAACAAACGTAGAGCCGTTGTATTTTAATGCCTGGGCAAGTGATTGAGTGTGTAATACAATACGTAGGCTCGCACCTAATGGAGCAGGGAAAGTCTTAAATGGATTGCTCTAAGCCTTACTCCACTTGTCATGGAGTCAGTAGATTCCAAGGGTTGAGGGCGTACAATGCAATTTGGATTTATATAGCGTCTAAATGCAGCCATATCTCAAGGCGCTGAACAAAAACAGTGGAAATATTTATTTTGTAGAGAGGCAGTCGGTCGATCATAGGCAGAGGGGAAAAAGGAAGGTCTGAACCTTGGACTTGAACAGAGGCAGGGAATACACAGCACGTACGGCTGGATGCAGGAAATTCCAGATTGCAGGGGCAAAATGAGAGGCCTATAACTTATTGAAGGTTGACTGGGGGCATCGATATAACTCCTTAGTTTCTGGAACAGAAAGTGCACAGTGGGGAGTGCAGTGGGATGAGAGCGGAGAGATAGGGGCAAGCCCACTGAGGATCTTGAGTGCAATCTTGAAATTGATTGTGGATTGGATTGGGAGCGAATGGAGGGATTGGAGTACTGAGTGGTCTCGTTTACTTACGGTTACGGGTGTGGGTGACAAATGTAACAGCAGCATTTTGGATCAACTACAGATTGGAGATGAGATATTTTGGAAGGTCATAAAGGAGAGAATTGCAATATTCCAGTCGGGATGTGAATTAGGCATGGATGATGGTCTCAGCAGCAGTTGGGTTGAGGAGATGACACATCTCACATTTTAAATATTGTTGGTGATGAATATTGTTAAATAATTTTTTTACGGCATATGCAATAATCTCATTGAGTGCTACTGTTCACTCAATTCAGTGTCCTTTAGTTAAAACTCGGTCATGACAAATTTGAAAAAAATCTGCATTTGCTATGTCATGGAAAAATCATGTGCTTTGTCTTTTCTCTTGCGTCCTTGCCAGGAACACAGCTTTGCCATAACCTGAAAGAGTGTTTGTGCGATTTCACGTATATATGGCTAACCGATTCCTACTCAAAATTCGCGATATACGGTTTGACCTCACTCCTATGTGGTGGTCATGGGGTCAGACGTGGGACGACGTTGTGTAGTGTGGACTTTGTGCGCTACTCGGCAGACAGCTGTCTCGTGCTCTGTGCACCATTTTCTTGGAACGTATCTATCTGCAACCGCACACAGCGAGGGAAACCTGTCTACTGAACATTCACAAACAATACCGGCAACACATCATTACAAGATACAGCTCAATACAGAGAAACGATTTCAAAGGCTACATCTGTATAGTTAATATTTCAAGCAGCATATATACTGTTTGGTGAAAGTGTAACACATCAATGTTGATCACACACACGACACACGATGTGGGGAGACCCTCATGTTGCAGTGGACTGACAAAACACGCTGTACTTGTACACAATATAACTTCGTCCAACAGTACTGCAGCCATGCTAGCAAGCACGTGCTTTTTGGGTTTTTTTTTTATTTCAAACCTCGAATTAACGAAATGACCGATGCAGCAATGGGCAAGGCCAAATCAGTGATTGCTAAATACACTATCCAGTCACTAGACTCTTGCACAACCTTGGTGGGTGGGAGCTTTGTGTAGCAAACCCTACGGACAGGGCCCTCTGCCCCGTCCGTTAGCTCACCTTCTGTCGAAGGCAAGTCTGGCGAAAGGCCGTACGTGTGCAATGCATGATGAACTTAAATTTAGATTTAAAGCTTTCGTGACTGCAAGGATTCATCTTCTTTGGTTCTTTCGGTAAAGTCACCACGTAGAATGAGAATAAAATAATAATTTTTAAAAAAAACGTCGTGAGAATTTTATTGTTATTTTATTAATTTATTACTTTATTCTCATTCTACGTGACTTTACCGAAAGAACCAAAGAACATGCTGAACTTCTTTCGCACGCCGCACGTAGCCAACCGCGCTAATCTTTGCTACGGGAGGGAAGGAAGGGGCAGTTGCTATAGCCGCTTCAGCGGCTTCACGCAAGACAGGCATTGGCCGCATGAAATGAAGCACAGACAGGCAGCCAGCCATGAAAAGCGCAGTGGGGGTTGGGGGGGGGGGAGCGTGCACACGCATCCACGTGTGCACGCGCACGCATCCACGTGTGCACGCACGCACGCGCGCACGCGCGCACGCACGCGCGCCACCTGTCACGGGCGACAGGGCACTTTATGACGGAGCGTCTTAATGGCCTTGCACTGTACACGCAAGCCACCAGTTCTACTTTTACGGTGGACAAGTTAAATACACCGTGGGGTTCCTCCCGTGACGAGCGGCGGTGGTTCGTGCAACTCCACGGTGTGAGCGCAGGTTCTGCCTCTGGGTCCCTCCAGTCCATGAGCCGGTGTCCTACCGCAGAGCTGGTCAAATTCCTCATGGCAGGTGGTAACTAAGGGTGGCAATTAAATGGTGACTAAATAATAATTTTAAAAAAAATATTTAGTTGCATTTACTCTTAACGGTGTCGATGTCTCATTTGACATCTTGCCACTGTGCCTCCAATTCCGAATTTTGGTGTTTTTTTCCAGATTGACTTGGGAACCCCATGGGTTGGAGTTTGAGAATTGCTCTATTGAGATAATCCCTATGTCACGTGAGGAACGCTTCTGCAAGACTGAGCACAGCAGCATTGGCTTATTTTTTTTAAAAATATGACTCAGGGATTAATTCGGTTGCCATGGTGAGGAGTAAGTGTTGAGGGGTGACATGATAACCCAGGCACTGCACCCGAAGCTGCTGATAATCAGGTTCGACTGCAGACTTTGAATTAGAAAATTCAAACAACCTCTGTTGATCCTGACAGCCTCCGATGCTTTGGGTCTAATCTGTTCGGAAATGACAACCCCCATGTGTTTATTTGCAGAGCTGAAGAAGTCGGGTTGCCTCCTGTCCTGGTTTTACCAGGATCATCCTCGTGTTGCAATAGCCAATGCAAATTGTGTAAGTCTTCACGGGACATCCAATGTCAATTGCTGTGATAATACACACTCAAGACAATGCATTTGCACGTCATTCTCCCCTCTCCTAGTATTGTGAGATATTTTTCTTCCCGTGATATGTGTTTTGTACCATAGAGGTTGCAACCCTACGGAGGAGGCACACGGTTGTGGAGTGAATTGCACGCGAAGCTGCTGCACTCCCAAGAGCAGCCTCGGCAAAGAGTACTGGTGAGCAACACACCACCCTTATTAAGGCTTTCGTTTGATTCGGCACGAATGATTTTCCGATGTTAGTGATGGTGATACAAGTGTGGGTGGAGCTGTAACGTAATGAATAGTGCACTCTGCTTTAAACCCTGGAGTTCGATTCCTGGCCACGGCTAACTTCAGTGGCGAGTGATATATCTTGCGTGATGAACCCCATCTTTCACAGACCCCTGCTGACCAGCGTGGTGAAGTATGGTCAGACGACTCCCATGATCGACATGGCATTGACGCAGCAGTTGATTTGCAAGGGTCTATCAGTTAACATTTACTTTTATTAATAAGTATAGATTGATTCCATATTTCTTCTTGGAGAAGGACCATTGCCTAAAACGTTAGCTCAACATTTAAAGTGGCCAACAGGTGGCAGTACAGCAAGTGGATTGAATCCATCTGTGCGGACCTGTGAGTGTTATCCACTCAAATGCGTTGGTTTTCTCTGGGTACTCCAGTTTCCTTCCACATGGAGCAAAACACTAATACATGAAAGGATATGATTATAACACATGTATATCATACCACATGTATATTATCTTATTTATCTTTAGGCCAACTTTGCAGCTACCTTTGTAAAGATATTTTATAATTTCCTGTAGTTGATTAGCATTGCTCATTATATTGACTATGTTGTTAATTAATCTGAAATACAACAATTAATACTTTCACCGTTTGTCTTTCTGCCTTGATTTCGCTAATTACATTTTCAGAAAATATATTCGAGTGTCACTAGGAGAAATTAACTTGATAATGAAACGTAACTTACCAATGCCCCTAAACAAGATAGTTTTAACCGGTGCAAACTACCTCCCCGAGACATGCGAATGAATAATGGACATTAACAAAGTAAATGAAACAAAGGTAAAAAAAGTGTGCACGGCATGATGAGATGCTTGGAATTTACATTGAGAGCTATAAAGGGGAAGACGTGGATTATGGGACATAAGCAGATTAAAGACATAGTTCAAACTGTTAATAAAACTGAGTGTGCTTGCATGAGACATGTCAACTCGAAAGCATGATGGCCAGCGATCAAGATTAATAATGGAGTGGCAGCCAAGGAGTTGAATACGTCCAGCAAGGAGGCAAAGTGATGAAATCAACTCGTGCGCAGGTCTTAGGGTGGATTAATACATCACGGATTGTGAGAGATGGTAACGGCTTGGAGAGACTTCTATCCAGCAGTGGATTGATCACGGCAGATAATGATGATTTTATAATGATCGGAATTATTGAGCATCTGTTTCTTTTGTAGCTATCTTTCTAGGCGAGCTTCATATGAAACTTACTCTTGGTGATGTGGAATAACCCATTAGTATTGAAACATTTCAATGACCTCTCTTATTAATAGAGGAGCGTAGTCATGCTTTGTGCGAGTGCGTCACCTGGTGTGCTTTATACACGTCCATTGCTCTGTTTATACACAGGCGAATAAAAGCTCGGGAAATGCACTCTGTTCATCTCATGTGACTGGTATTTGTTCGCAGAAAGTATTTTTTTGAAAAATTAATGTGAAAATTGCACATATATAGGTACAATTGACTTCTGTTGCATGCGTTCATTCTCACGCAAATGATATATTTGGCATCAATTATAAAATAGCAACTAATAATCAGGCTAGCATGTGCAATGCTTAAAAAAAATTTTTATACTCTACCGTACTCACCACGACATATTGATGTTTTTTTTCTGACACGGCCTAGCGGCAGCGCACTCGCTGCTTGTTTACAGAGGTTCCCGGTTCGACTCCAGCGGCCGCCACTGGTTATTACTGTGCTTTTGTGTGTTAACGGTGAGAATACTCGCCGTCTGCTTTACAGTGGACAATAAAGATCCCGTGACGTCGTTCGCAAGACGAGGCCATTGTTTTTGCCGGCGTCACGGTCCAAAATATATATTTTTTAAATTACACCGCAGATCACTCAGTTGGGATACACGTAGCAAAAGTCACTGCCGACTGTTCAAAACCCTGGTAGGACCCTCCTGATAAAGAGTTATGAGTTATGAAAAAGAGTTACAAGACTCGGCGAGGCTTTCCTTGGTAAACAAGTGTTATAATAACAAAAACATTATGACTGCCTTTTCACACTTCCTTACCTTCATCACTACATTTTTGTTTGTCGTTCCAATTATTTATTTTCGACATAATCGGAGACGCATACAATGATGGCAGTGCATTGGGTGCAGTAATCAGGAAACAATTGCAGTGTTCTCGCAGCAGACTTTGACATTTTACCTGATTGAAAATTGTATGTTTCAGTCTGATGTAGCATAATCCCACATAGAATTGCAATCATCACTGCGGATATACTGAGGCAAGCCGTGCGGGTGCACTAGCGAGCTATGTAAGAATTATTCATTATCACACATCCTGGATAGGTGATAATTGGGATATGACAAAGCAGACTAATTAACGACGAGCCTTTAATGTTTTCCTGCTGATTGGGGATGAATGCTGGTGTTAGTCACCTACTAATTGGTGAGGAATATTGGAACTCGCTTTTACAAACATGCCTAAGGACTGTCCTTTATTTTGTGACCTTTAAAATTAAACCACTAAAATTATTCATTTTATAGTTTTTATGTATGTCAGTAATTGGTAAAAAAATGTCTTAACGTGTTAGCTGTAAGTTTTTTCTTTACTTTTTAAATATTTTATGAGAAAATTGTCTCCAGCTGTGTTCTCAACATCATGTCACAAGATGAAGAAATGTCGATGCGGAACTCTTGCGGAGCAAATGCATCAACATGCTTTTGAGATAGGACTACAGAAGGAGATATCACAATAGGGGGCATTTCGAGCAATAATCCATCTTCATAGCATGTAAATTGCATTTTGTTATATTTTATCTTTCCTTTTAAGGCAGTGTTAATGATTAATGCGTCGAGTGTTATGTTATTTGTGCTTGTGCACCAGTGCCAATACATTATCACCAAATAGTTTGTTATTATGGTATAGTGTGCTGCACTCTCACGTGTGCCCAGTTACAGAGTTGTTCGTCACTTGGGTCTTACTTCTTAGAGTGGAGTGAGACCATCGACTCTCTCCACTCAACGACCCAGTTTCATTACGAGTGGCTGCCTGGATTCGAACCCAGGTTTCTCAGTGGTGTCGGCTCATTGTTCTGATCAGCTGAGTCACCCGGCCAACTAGATTGCATGTTTTTGTTAGTTTGATTTATATCATTCTGTAAGCATAATCAATCCCATTCAAAAGTTATTTTGACCTTAAGTTTTTGCATATCTGTAGTTTTGGATGATCAGGATGAATCCATGATACTCATTGCACATGAGGTAATCCATCCAAAGAGGTAAACTTCACATCTCATTTGTCTGCCTCAGAACTTTTTATTTAATTCGTAAATGTACTCATTTATTAGACCAGACTTTAAAACACTGAATCATATATTTTTCAAAATGCTGCACTGGCAACACATTTTGACGAGTGGTAGACTGTCAGAAACGCTCTGATGCGATTAAACATTTGTGTTCTTCTCTTAACAGTTGACCCACTCTTCATCCGGGAGTTTAAAACAAAAAATCGACAAAATATATAATTTAAACAGTGGCCAACGGGTGAAGTGGTCACGTGGCTGACATGGCCAGGACGTAGCGGTCTACAAGTTGCAGGGTTTTCCAAACTTCATGGTACATCATTCCGAGTTTACCAAATAACCTCCGTTCAAATCACAAATGTATTCATTACACACTGCACATGCGTGACGATTGATAAACATGTCCCACCTGACATAGCAGGTGCTGAGTTAAATCAGTCTATATGCCACTTGGGATGTGTTTATCAATCATCAGACATGTGCAGCATGTAATAACTGGATATTTATATGAAAGATACATTTGTAAACTACATTTTTTTGTGGACAATAAGCATTGTGGTCCAGGAAACTGAGAGAATAACCTAACATTGTACCAAGTATCGTACGCAGTATATGTACAAAGTTGACTATAACTTACTAAATTGCTGTATTGCTGCATTTATTGATCACTATTTTGCCATGTGATCCTACCTATAACTCCCATGGCTGTCATACTGGTGTAAAGTCGAAACCCATCCAATTGGCTGGCTCACAACCACAGAGCACCACAGTAAACCAGGACGATGGCACGCCGCTTTACACGGCACCCACACGACATTGGACACCTTTTTGTGCCATACTGGTGTCCGAAAATAATTCGTCTTCAGAGCTCTTCCGTTTCACTTGACAGGTGTAAATAACGGCAGCAATATAATATGTTGCCTGCATGAAATATTTATTATAGCTTCGCGCAGCCAGACAGCGATGTGACAGCATCGGGGTGTGAATTGGCCTGCGAAACTATATGGGGGTTTCATAAACTGTGAGTGCAAAAACGAGTATCCATTAGTTTTGAGGAAAGGGGGTAAAATTACCAGAAGTTAAAAGATGCTCGTTAAAACGTCCCAAGGAGACAATGCAAGTCGTGGAAATAAAGTCATCGGTGGCAGGCGGTGGTGTTAAGCAATGGTGAGAGGCGTGAACTGTGATGAAACAGCTTTTCTACAGGGTTTGGAGTGGCACATACAAGTCAGAATATTTTTTTTTTCAGATTCAGAATATTTATATTGGAGGAATCCGATGAGCTATGAAGCTCTTTGCCACAGATGTCTACACGGGGCGGGTCAGAACGTTACAACAAACAATACAAAAAAAACGTTAGGAGTGCAAAGTATAGGAATGGTAAACAAATCACTAAGCAAATATAAACAAAACTAAGTGGGTTTATTTAGAGCCCATAAAAAAACATAAAATCCACCATCATGAATTACAGTGTATTTTCCATGAGGCATTTTCATGCAAAACACCAACATCGTATACGTACGGGCTCATCAGCAAAGAAAGGCGACAGCCATAGATTAGTCGAGATGGAGGAAACATTCTGCTCCTGTCTGTCAGCGTGTTTTTTTTTTGGCCTCTGTGTTTGACTAGATTCATCATTTGGTGTGGTTTTTTATACATGTTTATACATGTCTCTTTAACCGTGTTGTTGGCCTGACTGGTTGTGCTTCACATAATGTTTCTTAGGTTTGTTGAATTCTCGTCTCTCATCTTTTTGTTGTATTTACCTCCATGATTTGTTCTTGACACCTGATGAAGATCGCTTGTGTTGTGATCGAAACGTCGTGATTGTTTTGTTTTAATATAATTTTATTGTATTTCTACATACGTGACTTTACCGGAAAAAAACAATGAGTTCATTTTTGTTGTTGCCATCGTTTTATACGTCTTATTGTATGTTTGCGTGTATTGATGTTATCGAAATATGGATATATTGGGTGATGCATTTATAGATGCCCGACTAAAATAATTGGGAGACATTCGAGGAAAGACAACATTGTATTTTAGTGCCTCTGAACATCCCCCCACCAATCTTCAGTACGCATTGGTAAGTATTTCTATACGCTCTTCTACCTAAGGTATGGAGCCATTGCTTTTGCAATGTTAAATCAGCTGTTGCAAAGAAAGAGGATCGTTAGAAATGTGTGGGGTATCTATAAAAGAATCACACTGTTGATGTTTTGCACTGAGAATGTGATGGGAATGCCTCATACCCTGGGATGTGATACAGTATTTACATTTCGATTTAAAGCTTTCGTGGCTGCAGGGATTCATATTCTTGGTTCTTTCGGTAAAGTCACGTAGAAGGGAAATAATACAAATAAAACATTAAATTATCACGATGTTTCGATTGCAACACAAGCAATCATCATCAGGTGTCGTTGTAAGAATTTTATTGTTGAATTTTTATAATTTTATTATTTCCCTTCTACGTGACTTTACCGAAAGAATCAAGAAGAGTATTTACATTGTCAACTCTTATTTTTTATGTAGATGTTAATCGGAAGTAATTGTGAAGCACACCCTGATACACATATCACATTATATTATAAATGATCAATTAAGTCCAAGCCAATTAAATGGCCAGTGACCAAATGCATTACAAGCTAATTAGACCTGTCACATTTGGGAGGTTGATCCTTGATTCCAAAGTTGATGAAGATTTCTCTTTTGCACGCACATTATTACGTTTATACGTTCATTTCTTTACATTGCACTTTAAAACCAAATGTGTTTTAGTCTATTTACACGATTAGGATCCTAGGATGGAATGCACATAAAAAATACAGAATTCTAATTATAAATTTGAATTATTATCCAGCACTGTAGAGGCGTGGATTGGTGGATTGCACAATGTTCCGATTCTACCTTCCCGTGTGCACGAAGGTGCGATACCCTGACTTGCCAGAGGAAGGTAAAACAACCAAGTATGGACTGATATAATCTGTTCCTTATCTTTGGGATAGAGTGTTGGCCACTCATATCCGTGGTTTTTCTCCGAGTGCTCCGGTTTCCTCTTACATGTATAAATACTCACTAATTGGCTGAAGACAACTTTATGTATAGAGAACTGTAGCGCTCAGGCAATTGTTGTTGCCGTCTCACTGCCTGGCAGCTTTCTAGTTTGTCTGTAGTCCCAACATCCATTTGCATAAATGATGCTGTATGAAAGTAAAACATTAAATTGTGATGATTTCAAAGTCTTACCTTGGTTATTGCAGGTCAGTGTTTCCTGCATACATTTTACTGCTCAGAGAATGCAATCTGTGAAATTTTTACTTAATTGGGAATTGCATTTTTTTCATCACCAGCCAAATTATAAACTGTATATGCAAGTGTACAAATATATATGTATTTGACTATTGCTTTGCAGGATTGTGATGCAATGGCAATGGCTTGGGGAGGCCTTCATCCAGCAGCGAATTAATCATGGCTCGTGATGATGTATTTATTTACAAAAAGTGTATCTATTTCACTTTAGTAGACCTGTAATCAATGTTATTTAGACATAGGATTTTGGCCACCATACATTTAATTATCACTGGGTGTTTTTAGTTTTCGTGGCTCTGGGAATATATTTGTATCAGCTCTTGCAAACAATATGGAATGTTCCAAAGTTAAACTCCCCCACATCTGCATCCACCCATTCTGTGTAAACAATTGTCTTCGTCGCACTGAATGTGGAATGCAACAATTATTTTGCACACATGTATTTTGATATGAGAATTATTTTACACAACTCTATATATCTGGCTCTCTAAGTATCAAATGATTGTTCCTCGGAAGTAAGTTTTACTGTCATCTTTATTTTAGTTTTCCTACTGTAAGATTATCCAATTGCATAGTGACATCCCAGAGCACATGGGACACGTTTTTTTTTTTTCCAGAAGAAGAGGACACACCAAACAGCTGTCCTCCGGTACATTGTTCTCCGGCAGACGGTCTCCTTAGTGCCTCCGTTCCACAGCGCCGACCTTTGCAAAGTTACCCCCCCCCCCCCCCCCCCCGTCTTTTGCCTTGAGGACGACCAACAGCTGATTTCGATCAAACGGAAAAGGCTCCGTGAGAGACAGGATGCGTGCAGTCCCATGTTCATGCATAAACCCCGCAGGAGCGAGGTCTCTCGCTAATTGCACCACAAACAATTTTTTTTTGCACGCGGGGGGGGATGGGGAGTTATGATGGTGGCTGCGATGAAAGTTTTCCTTGAAACCGTTTCATCGGCCTTTTTGTTGTCGTTGCTTAAAGGCCGCCTGCAGTTAACATCTCCTTCGAGTGGGATGAATGCAAGGTTAAAGTTTGTTTTGCAGTTATCGAGTCTTTGAAAAAAAAAAGGCTGAAAAATTATTTTACAAGCCATCGCACCATGAAAAAACCCAACTGGATCAATTTAACCAGTTGAAATATAGGAGACAGCGAAAAGACCGTTCATTGTAGAGTCTTAATTGTTTGGATAGAATTCTCATGACCGTTGTTTGTACAAGCACCGATTTCAGCCAACGTGCAATTAAAAGCCACATTTTATTATTATTCTAATCGCAGGGTGTGTGCACATCGGCTTTCAAGGGCTTCCTGCAATTTTATTAATTTTAAACAATGGCTTGTGGTATCTCAATAATCAGTTACTGAATCTTCTTCCTCTTTGCCTATTTTATTATCACTCACAGAAGGCTACAGTGGCAGGTTGTATTTGAAGCAAATATAATTACCGGTTAACATGTAACGTGCCCCTTTGTAGCCTAATAGTCCAATAATGCAGATGTAGATTATCACAGTCTGCCTTTCATTACAAGGACAAAATGAATCAAAGTTTGTACGTCATGTGGCTGTTGGCAAAGATAAATTTGGCAAGGGAATTCTTAAATGAATACTGTTTTATGATCCATAAATATCAGCTAAACCTTCAAATTTTGGCAAACAAAGCAATAGCTTTTTCTGTTTAAACTGATGGTACAGTATGCAGCAAGCCCTCGTCAGCTAAACACTTTCACTGCACATAAATAACACCATGGGAAGTCATATTTACATCTTGTTTATCGACAAGCCTTGTGCTGTCATGACTGTATAGAAAATATGCATCAGGAACGAGTACATTACTAAAATCATGAATTGACAGCCCTTCGTCCACCCACTGTTGGATAACACTGCCCATGCCGTGTCAATCATGGGGATTGTTGATATTACTTCACCACGCTGGTCATTGTGAATGAAGTTTGGTCGGGGGGCTCGGGACTAGTTCTGATATCATTCACCACTGATGGTCGAGTGGTCTGGAATCAAACTCAGGTCATCAGTTTAATAGCGCAGTGAGTTAACCACTGTGCCACTGCTCCCTCGATTACAATGCTCCATTTATTACCACAAATTACTGCAGATAATAGCAATTGACAATGCTCTATGAATTTAATTTTCTCTGCTGCAAAACATTTTCGGTGAAAACACGAAGCACCGTGTGCGATGCACCTAAGAATTGAATACACAAGCAAGTGTGGCAGACGGTGGAGATTGTAAATGATTTTATATTCCTGCCATTTTTCGAACACTGACGAGGAAATATTTCAGAAACGTCAAACCTCGAGCAAGGCTGCGATTGAAAATTTCTCTAAGGATCGAACCTCCATCTGTTGCACAGTCAATGCAAGCGGCAGTGATAAATGTCAATTTGCTTGCCGCGTGGAGGCATTGCATTCTTTGGGGAGGGGGACTCCTAGACTGAAAAGGAGGCTAAGGAGGTTAGAGAGGTAGGAGGGAGCAGATGGACGCCACGGTGGCGAGATGTTAACTGCCTCGCCTGGTATACAGGAGGTTGTGGGTTCAATCCCAACACTGATGCCTGTGTAGTTGGAGTTTGCATGTTCTCCCCGTGGTCACATAGATTTTACTCCAGTTTTTCCTATTTAGAAACATGCATTTAGAGTCATAATAAAGGTTTTTGGGTTAGATCGCGTTATTTATAAATTTGTCGTAACCCTCCACCACCCGACACGGCCAATCAGCAAAAAAAGTGTCACGTTGACAAAAGACAAATAGTTCACTACTTTAGCCCACCGGTGTGTTGAAGAGTGAATCCACAACATTTACAGTTTGAATACGACGTTTTGCTGGTAATTGCATCCAGCATCATCGGGCAATTCGCCAGAATGGTAAAGCCCTCACTTGCTCTCGGTCTTAAATAGAGCAGCAGGGTGACGTCATCATTTGACTCATTTCAGGTGCAGTGATTTGAGGCGGAGGGGGGGGTGTTATAATTATATAATCGATTGGTAATCAGTCAATGGTTATGATTAGTAATGAGTTATAGATTAGTAATTAGTTCTAATGTATGTTATTGTGATTATATGCTACTATAGTAACGTTGAAGTGTTGTGTAAAACTATTTTTTACTGGCAAAGACTAATTAGAGAAACCATTGAAATTGAGAGGAACAGAAATAACTTTAATCGTTCTGATAGCTATAGGCTTAGTGCGGCTTGGAAGCGTATTATTAAATAATACATATTACAATTCCTTATAGGGGAAACACATTAATTAACGGATTACTAATGTAGCATATAATCACAATAACACACATTAGAACTAATTTCTAATCTATAACTCATTACTAATCATAACCATTGACTGATTACCAATCGATTATATAATTACAATACCCCCCCCCCCTCCGCCTCAAATCACTGCACCTGAAATGAGTTAATTAATGACGTCACCCTGCTAATCTATTTAAAACCGGGAGCAAGTGAGGGCTTTACCATTCTGGCGAATTGCCCGATGATGCTGGATGTAATTTCCAGCGAAACGTCGTATTCAAACTGGAAATGTTGTGGATTCACTCTTAAACACACCGGTGGGCTAAAGTAGTGAACTAATTGTCTTTTGTCAATGTGACACTTTTTGTTGCTGATTGGCCGTGTCGGGTGGTGGATGGTTACGACACATTTATAAATAACGCGATCTAACCTAAAAACCTTTATTATGAATAATATTGGTCGACAAAGCCTATGTGTTAAAATGCATTTAGAGTATTTGGCTACTGTATATATCCACGTGATAAGCCACTTTGTTAAACTATCATTTGTGGTCAGGTCGCTTCTGAAAAAGAGTGATATATCTCAGTGGGCTTTACCTGGTAAAATAAAAAAAATGTAATTTACAATGGCTTTTCAGACATAGGATCTGTTATTAACCATCGTTGTGTGTATTCTAAATTCAAGCCTTGTAGGTGTTGGTGGGATGAAATAGATGCAAGTAATAGCTCATTCTATGTGATCTTATGACCTCTGGTCATTCAGGCCAGCAGTGTGTT